TGGGCGGAGACGATGACGAGAGGGAGGCTGCGCCCACCACGACCTTCAACATCCCAGGGCAAGTGTGGGAAGATGCGAGTGCAGCAGTGGACGCCAGAGGACTGGCCCCAGGAGTGACAGCCTGGGAGAGACCAGCCTTCCCACCGACAGCAACATCGAGAAGCCAAGAGAGCAAGGACCACTTCTTGCTGACGAGGGACCCGCAGGGCCAGCAGAAGATCGACAGCCACTTCGCGAGGTGGATCACGACCCTGGAGCTTGCGACCCTCCAGCACCATGAGATTGACACAGACAAGCAGGACGCCTACGTGGGCAGAGGCAGAGGATATGCCATCAAGTGGGTCAGGACCTCGGCCACGCCGGCGCGAGCACACCTCCGAGACCCACACCTCGAGTGGTGGCACATCGCGGTGACGCTCCTCAAGCGCTACGAGATGCTCAGGCGCACCGACAGGATCTCCGAGGCCGCCAGCTGCAACGGCAAGATCGTCGAGCTCATGCAGAAGGCTGAGGAGACGCAGCTCCACGAGGTGTTCAACAAGGACGACGGCGATGAGTTCGGCAACTGGAAGGCCATGATGAGGACGCTGCAGACCCTCCCCGACGAGGACGTGATCCCCGTCATCGAGATCAGCGAGAGGTACCAAGGGAGGGCCATCGGGCAGGCGCTCACCAAGTCGAGGAAGGCCTACCAGAGCTGGGCCATCAAGATGTGGAAGGAAGCACCGCGGCACCTCCACAACATGGTCAAGGACCCGAGACCCGAGACCGTTGAGAAGATCCAGCAGGGGAGCTCCGTGGCGGACCCCGACCAGATCATGAGCAACCGCGCCGACGAGTGGGAGAAGCACTGGGCTGACCCCAGCGTGACCCCCGACCAGCTCCTCGAAGGCATCCACATGGTCATGGGCCGCGCCTGGCAGCAACCCCTGGCCCCGCTCCAGCTGCAGCAGCTGGACCGCCTGCCCCCCGCCATCTCGGCCACCAAGGCCAAGGGGATCGACAACATCGGGCCGCTGGAGGTGCAAAGGCTCCCGACTGAAGGGAGGCAAGGAATGATCGACCTCCTCAATGACATCGAGGAGGTGGGAGCGTGGCCAAGGCAGATGCTTGCGACCATCGGCTCCGTCGTGCCCAAAGAAAAGGGAGGGGGCGACAGGATCCTCGGCCAGCTCCCGTTCGTCATGAAGACGTGGAGCAAACTCAGGGGCAGCATCACGAGCGAGTGGAGTGCCAACCTGAGCGAGTTCTGGGATACAGCAATACGAGGCTCGTCGGCTCTACGAGCCAGTATCCTTCGAGCCACTCTTGACGAAACAGCGAGAGAACTGGGAATAACCACAGCCACGCTGCTGCTAGACCTGGCCAAGTTCTACGACAGCATCAGCGTGGTCAAGCTTGTCCAGCACGCGCTGGAGCAGGGCTACCCGCCCATCGTGCTCTGCCTCGAGGCGCAGATGCACCTGGCGCCGAGGCTGCTGAAGGAGCGGCAGCGGGTCAGCAGGGAGATCCAGCCGTGGCGCTCCATCCTGGCGGGCTCTCCAGAGGGAGTGCGGCTCGCCAAGGCCTTCATGGGGCCCATCCTCCACCGCGCGCAGCTCACGAAGCAGGCGGCCATCGGCCTCTGCACGTTCGTGGACGACACGGTCCTGCGCTCCCAGGGCACCGTGGCCAACGTGGAGAAGCAGCTGATCGACAGCGGCGCCAAGCTGGGCGAGTGCCTGAAGGAGGCGGGCCTCACGGTCTCCCCGAAGACCACGGTGATAGCGAGCTCCCCGAAGCTGGCCATCGCCATTGCGAAGGGCCTCCAGCAGCGCGGCGTCCCCGCCAAGGCAGAGGGCAACTTCACCGACCTGGGCGTGGACTGCAACGCCGCGAGGACGCGCACACGGCGCAAAGGCAGACAGAGAATGCAGAAGGCCGCCAGGCGAGCCCACGCCATCAGGAAGATGCGCAGGATGGCAAGGCTCAAATTGGTGACCAAGGGCCTCTGGACGACAGGGGCCCGAGCGCAGGGCACCTACGGCCACCAGGTGCAGGGCCTGCCGCACTACGAGGTCCTCAGGCTGAGGAGGCAGGCGGCGCAGGCGGCAGCAGGGCGCGGGCCAGGGCGGTGCCTCACCAGCACCCTAGCCATGCTCTACGGCAGAGGCGACCCAGCCAAGAGCATCCCGCGCGAGCAGCTGGCGGCCTGGCTGGACCAGTGGTTCGCCCACCCCGAGCTGCACGCCAGGATCGCCAAGGCCTGGCAGCCAGCGCTCAGGAGGCTCCGTCTGGCGGGTGAGAACCGCTGGAGGAGAGTGCGTGGGCCAGTTTCGGCCACGGTGGCGACCCTCCTTGACGCAGGATGGGACCCTGTCGACCACGACTTCTGGGTCACGGACGAGGACGTGGGCTGGCGTTTCCCCAGCCCCAACCAGCCGAGCTTCGCGGAAGCGGCGGCGGACTACGTGGAGCTGCTCTCGGACTCCGAGCGCTCCATCGACAGGAAGCTCTGGAAGCAGGCGGCGCTGCACCAGGGGTCCTTTGACATTGAGGGCGGCACCGACATGCTCATGATCAAGCGGGAGATGCAGCAGTTCCAGAAGCGGGGGGACGACGACCTCTGGGCGCTCGACGTGGCGGTCGTCGCGGCGGGCCAGTGGACCAGGCAGAGGCGCGCGGAGGCCGGCTACGAGGCTCCTGACGCCTGCCCCCGCTGCGGCCAGGCGGCCGACTCTCTTTTCCATCGTGTCTGGGCTTGCGCCTGCAACCAGGGCCACCCCGATTTCGAGAAATCTGATCACCTCATCCCTCGGGCCACCGCGTGCCACGAGGCATGGCCTTCGTATTGGCTGCGTGGGCTTCCGAGTGTCGAGGCCACGACCCCCTCCTTCGACCTCGACCTCCCTCCTCACCGCTCCGAATTCGGTGATTTCGCGAGTGTCCCGAGAGGCCCCGACGGGTTCCTCACGGTTTTTGGGGACGGCTCTGGGGGGGAGCACTCCTCGGACCCCCGCCGCAGGAGAGTTGGCTCAGGAGTTTGTGCCCTCGAAGCTCTCCCAGCAGGTGGTTGGACCCCGTCGGCGGGTATCGTTTGTAGTCTAGGGGGCACCCGTCAGACGGTCCCGAGGGCCGAGCTAGCGGCCTTCGCGGAGGCCCTCGAATGCACGTTTGGGCCGCTCAGGTATGTCACTGATCATAGGCCCCTCCAGGACGGCTGGAACAGAGGTCGGCATCTCTCCCCGTCGTTCAGCTGTACCAACGCCGACCTCTGGTTCAGAATAGGCCGAGCTGTGCGAGCTCGTGGCCCCGACCCCGTCCTAATCGAATGGACCCCGTCCCACCGTGAGTCGGGAGATATACGCACGGCCCGAGACTTGTGGTGGGCGGTAGGTAACGAATGTGCTGATGAGCTGGCCTCCCGAGGAGCGTCGGCTGCATGGACCGAATTTGTAACGAGTGTTCCCTCCACCGATGCGGTGGACGCCGAGACCTTCCTGATCCGACGAAGGGCGCGGAGAGCTCTCGCGGAGGCCATCCGAGCTGACCCGTGGACCGAAAGTCGTCCCTCGGCCCCTCGCCCCGATCGGATCCCGCGGCTCGAGCTGGCCATGAGAGCCTCGAAGCACGAGTGGAGAAAGCTCGGCACGAAGTTTTATTGCCGTAAATGCAAGGTTTTCGTGAACCGTTCGAGGTTCATGGCTGCTGCCCCGGCAGTGTGTGCGCACGGTGCCCCTCCCCCAGGAATCGCGCCCTTTAACGGTCGACGGGTTCTGGGAGGGCAGGTTTTGGACGAGTCCCACGCCTTACAGTATTGGGGAGAATTCAAACTCGTCTTCTGCAGTATGTGCGGTCTCACGGCAACTACTGACCCCAGGCACCTCTGCAGACCTTGTGTTGCACCCACCCCGAAGGGGAGGCAGAATCTGGCGAGGATCAGGAGAGGCCTTCACCCATGTGTGAAAGGGCCCCCCAAGATTGTAAGAGAAGCCAATCTTGAAGACCTCCGCCAGTAATTCACGTGATTCGACGTTCGTTGTCGTCAGCCCTTTAGCCCTTTAGTCCTCCCTCCTCCTCCTCATCATCCTCCTCCTCCTCTTCCTCCTCCTGCTCCTCCTCCCCCTCCCCTTCCTCCTGCTCCTCCTCCTCCTCCTCTCCCCCCTCGTCCTCCTCCGCCTCCTCCAGGCTCCGCGTCGGTGCCTGGCGTGTGCGTGGCCGGCGCCCCACCCGCAGCGGGGCGGCGGAGGAGCGGGTGCCGGCCCAGCGGCAGCCCCGCGGGCGGCCGCTCACATGGAGCGTGTTCGGTGTCAGGGGCTCGGGCCAAGGCGGCGAACAGGAGGAGGGGGAGGAGGAGGAGGAGGAGGAGGAGGAGGAGGAGGAGGAGGAGGAGGAGGAGGAGGAGGAGGAGGAGGAGGAGGAGGAGGAGGAGGAGGAGGGAGGAGGAGGAGGAGGAGGAGGAGGAGGAGGAGGAGGAGGAGGGAGGAGGAGGGGGAGGAGGAAAAGGGGGAGGAAGAGGGGGAGAAGGAGTGTGTGTGTGTGAAGCTTTGCAGAGAGGTGCCAGCATCTAGCAGCACTTCGCAGCTCCGGCCTTCGCTGGGCTCCTCTCTAGAGTGCGCCGCGGCTCGAAACTTGGCCGCGCGTGGCCTCGAAGGCACCCAAGCTCCCACCCACCCCCTTCAACGGCTGGGTTGCCACGTTTTAAAGACAGGCAGGCCGAAGGGGCGGGGCTGTAAACGGGAAAAAGAAACAAGTTAAAGAGACCTCCCAGGCCCCAAGGACGTCCGAGCGGTCAGGCTCGCTGGAGCCGCGAGGAAAACCAGGACGCCAGAGCAACAAACCTGGGCGCCGAGGCCCCGCATCCCCACAAAACGGGACGCCAAAAAGTTTCGCGGGGGACTCAGCGCTGAAGGCCCAGGAGGTTCAGGATCGTCGAAAGAGGGAGGCGAGTCTCAGACGAAGGGGTGGGGTTATTCTGACCGGCTCTTGACGCTCTGGGCTCACTGGGGCTCACTAGGGGCTCAGATCTCCTCTGGGTCGGGGGCGCGGATGGTGACGGGGTCGTAGTCTGGATCGGGGAAGGAGGTACTCTCTGGGATCCCCGAGGTCGCAAACTTGCCGAGCCGAAGGCCTCTGGATCCTTTGTGCCAGCGTCGGCCCCGAGGAAGTAGCGTCCCTGTCCGTCGTGGCCACAATCACATCCCGTCGAGGTGCAGCTGTACCAGACGGGCGTTGTGACTCCTCGGCGGCGTGCCATGCTTGTGTACCCCTCCCAACTGCACCATTGAGCTGACCACTGTGTTCTCTAAAGTCGGAGGGTCCCCTGCAATCCAGATCTTTGTCATCTCTCCGTTGTGAGTGCTTTGCATGCGGCAGTGGCGTATGTCGTCTGCGAGGATGCTGTTGGTCGGGCGCTCCTGCCTGACCTTCTGCTGATACTGCGTGAGTGCCGCTAAGTTCTGCTGCCCGATCTTTTCGCCCTGCGCGATGAGGGCGCCGACCAGCGCCATCCACGCGTGCGGGTGGGGGATGCCCAGGGCTACGAGCTCGTCGACCGTCTTGCCCGACTCCAGCTGCTCGCGCTTCTCCTTCCTGATCCTGGCGGCCTCCGTGCCGCAGTACTTCGCGGTCAGCTGCATCGACTGGACCACGTCGTGCTTGGTGGGCATCTGCACGTGTCGGCAGCTGGCGGCCTCGAGTTGGTTCAGGCCCTGCTCGTGTCGGAGAGACATCCGCATCAGGACGGGGACGACGGCCTGGACCCATTCGATCGGCAAGCGCTGCAAGCTGGCGACATCCTGTCGGGCCAAGCCGAAGTGCGTGTCGGTGGCGTTCCAGACCATGGGGGCTGGCCCAGCCGCGGCTGCTGCGGCGGCTGCTGGTGCCTGCGGTGCCTCCACCCCTTGGCCTCCTCCTCTGCGTGAGCGGCGGGGCGCTCCTCGCTCGAGGCTGCGGGTGCGATCGCCCTCTCCGCACTGGCGGCCTCTGAGCTCTCGCAGGCGTTCTTCGGTCCCAATGCTCAGCGCACGCTCCGCGAGGTTCGACATCAAAATGGATCTCAGGAGCGGGGGGAGCGTGGACCTCTCTGATGTGGCGCTGGAGTGCCTCCAAACTCGGGAACTCGCCTTGAGCCCCGGCGGCGTCGGTACAGGGGGGCCTCGTACGATGGACTGGATGCACGACTTCGGGATCTAAGCAGACGGGGCAGAACAAAACCTCGGGAACTCTCAGGGCGGGCGAGTAGGGGCTGAAGTCGGCGATGCACCGTTTCATTTTCAGCGACTGCACAATATGTCGCTTCGCAAGGACGTCCGAGGAGAAGGTCGAGGAGCAGTAGAAACACTGGCTAGTGACGACCAACTGATGCATGGGTACACGGCACTTATGATCAGGACGATGACATTGATGGGCCTTGAGAGCCGCCTTGGAAACAAACACACATTTGCAGGGTTCACCGTTTCCAAGAGGAAGTGCACACACATATTTTTGATGTGGCTCGGGAACTGGCGGGGCCACTGGGGCCGAGAGGTCATGCGGAGGCACAAGAGGACGAGAGGAGGCCTGGCCCCAATGCACCTTGCGGAGCCTAGCGGGGTCCAGACTAGCGAAGAAAGCCGCAACCCTATCCTGAGTAAAAATGTCCCTGATCGAGTGACCCTGGTCCAAGAAGAGCTTGCCCTTGGCGAGGAGCCTGAGGGTGAGGATGCCTTTTTGCATTTGGAGGGCCCACGGGTTCTCGCTTTTGTCTATCCATCCAGACCCGGTGAATACAAGCGCCTCCTGCAACGCCTCAAAGTTCCCAAGCAGCGCGGCGACCGCTTGCACAGAAGACTCGGGGTACTTGGCGAGTTGTTGCCAGTACCCCAGCCTGCGTACGAGGAGCTCGGTGCGAGCGTCGGCGATGCGCAGGCGCTTGTGGACCTGCCAGGCGTGTGGAACTCGAATCTGCCCTACCCCATCGGCATCTGTACGTCTAGCTACTCCCCGAAGAGCGACCTTCGCGAATCCCAAGAGGACAGCATCCAATTTGCCGTAGTCCCGTTTGGCCAGAAGGTAAGTCTCCAGGCCCGCGTAGGCCGCACTCTGCAGAACACCCAAGAAGGCCATCCTTTTGAGCCTGAGCGAGACGTGCTGCTTCCAGAAACGACCCAGTTTGCACCAAGCTGATCTTGTCGCATCTATCCTGACTCGAACCTCCGCCCCCGCGCCTCCAGTGAGCTGCTCCAGACCTCCAAGGTAGGCCGCCTGGGCCTTGGGCTGCCCAGGGAAAGAAACGAGTCCCGAAAGGACGGCACGGGTGGCCGTGTACCCTCCAGGGCCCACGAAGACAGGCAGAACGAGCTCCTTGGATGCATTCTGCGTGAAGCCGCCTTGGGCTCTGAGCTTGGCCGCCAAAGGGTCGGAGGACTGCTTGGCCACCTCCGCGGCACGAAAAGGGTTGTTACCTGGCACTGGTAGCGTCTGCGAGACATCATCGGCATAATCACGTAAAGACAAATCCACGAGCTGCCCCGAGCACGGGCAGGAGATGAGGGTGGCGGCCTCCATCAACGGAACTGTGGAGCTGTCCTCGAGGAGGAAGGAGTCCGTGCTGTTGAGGAGGAGCTCGCGGTTCCAATCCTCCAAATGTCACACAAATGATCGGACAAAAAGTTCACAGGCGTTGCCATCGCCCATGCCAGCGCCATGCCTGGGCACGTAGAAGCCTCGAGCGTCACCTGCTCGCACCTCCATGACTGCCTCGGTGTGGCGCTGCTTGAGGAACAGATGTTCCTGCATGTCTGGGATGATCTGGCTCACCGCCTCCTCCAAGATGTCGCGGGACGTGGAGGGGAAGGCGTTGGTCATGTCCTTCTTGAGCTGGAGGTGGTTGACGCGAAGACGGCGAAGCCTCCAAGTGTGAAGCTTGGAGACCAGCTGTGCGCCCTGCCTTGGTCGATGACGGGCGTGCCCATGCGAGTGATGAGGAAGCGGCGGACGGCGGTGCCTGGTGAAAATCCCACGGTACCAGGCCTTGCCGAAGGGGCACTAGCAGTGGGTCAGACGCATCGCCCGAGTCCCCAGCTTGTCAATGCCTCTGGGGAGTTGAAACGTCCTCGACCAGTGCCACCAGGACTGCGTGCGGCAGGCGGTGCGGATCTGACGAAAGAGAGCCCCCAGGCGCTCCGCCAGGCGCGGGCAGTGCACGTGCGGTACTCGTTGTGGTCGTGCAGGTCGATCGCTGACGTCGGGGACTCCAGTCGGGTCACCTCGCGCCTCGATGCTGGCCGCCCTGAGGATGGCGTACCAGAGCTCGGTGGGCGCGGAGTGAGCTGGGGCGTAGCGCCTGCGGGCCGCATGTCGGAGACACCTCAGCGTGCCGGTCCAGTCGTCGTGGGCAGTCACTGCGGGATGTCCGCGTAGTTCCATCCAGGTACCGTCTGGGTCGTTCTGCTCCCGCAGCGCCAAGGCGATCTCCGCTGGAAATTCAGGCTCAGGGACCTGCACTGCCGAGAAGCCTCCTTCAGCCGCACCCGCCAGTAGTGTCGTCGTCCATTCTTCCAGGGTAGGGAGGTAGTGCGGTATCGTATTGAAACGCCGATTCCTTACGCCATGGTATCGGCCGCCGATCTGGTACGCCAGCTTCCAGACTGCCGTGGTGTGTCCACGCTCCGCAGCTGCGGTGGCGTCCCGAAGCAACTGCTCGACGTGCTGGGTGTCCAGTCGGCGTTTGGTGCGCTTGATCTCGCGGTCGCAGGCTCTGATGGCGAGCCTGTCGGCCTCTGTCCTGCACTGCCTGCTGAGGTTGCGTCGGCGTTCGAGAAGTTCCTGCCGCTGTTGGACGTAATCGGTGGTAGGGGCAGGTCGTGCACCGCGCTGGAAAGGGGCAAGGCGGCCTCCCGCCCATCGGAGACTAGAGACTGCCACGCCTCGGAGGGGTCGTCTTGTCGAGTAGTGCTGCGCCACGCGGCAGCTGCGTTCTCGCAGAGGCGTTCCAGTTCCCCAATGAGGTCGTAATCCCCCCGCGGGGAAGCCAAGCCCGCCAGTCGGTCGTAGTCCCAGGTCGGGTCCCCGTCGTGGTCGTCCTAGTAGTGGAGACGGTACTTCAGGCGCCAAAGCATGGGGGCGTGATCCTTCGGGTCGGCGTGTGGGATGAGCTGCAGGTCGCGCGTAGCCCCCATGAGTGAGCAGCAGGAGAGTGTCGCATCTATGGTATCCCGTGGGGCGAAGAAGTGGTCGGGGTGGGTGCGGTGGCCAGCCTCTTGCCCAAAATAGGTTGGCCCTGTCGGAAAGTGTGAGCCAACCACTGTCAATCCTTCCATCTGAAGTAGGCGCCACCATTCTGCTGATGTGAAATTCTCGGCCGCCGTGTTGTGTGATCCCACATGGATACCGTCGGCCGTGTACTGGTATGATCCATTTCCACTGGAGGTCTTTCCAAACTCACAGTTGGCGTCCGTCCCGACAATCACAAGACGACGCCGCGGGAGCTGCTGGATTGTGGCGTGGAGCCACTCGGTGAGGCGGGTCACTGTGGTCTTCCAGTGGTCGACTTGATGTCGTTGCTGCGGTGGATAGTGGAGAACAAAGGCGGCGATGTCGAAAGCATATGAACGCAATCTGACACCTCATGCCCTTCCAGCGAGGGCGGTCGGGGGTTCATAGATCCGATGAATATGTGAACGTCGGAAGGCACGGCAACGCAGCAGGAGAGAACATCCTGCGCTCTTGTTCGTCAGGCGGCCCCTCTGCCACCCGTACTCGATTTCCCAATGCTTGCCGCACTTGCGGATGGTCGCGCCATCTCCTGGGCGGCGCTTCTTCTGAGTGCCTGGAAGCATCACGATGTCGGCAAAACTGAAGCGAGAGGAGATGGCAAACGCCCGCCATGAGTCGGTCATGGAAAGAGGGTTGTACAACACAGTCTGGAGAAGAGAGGCCCACATCGGTGGGTGGGAGCAGCACGCAGGCGAGGGTGTGTCCTGCGGGGGACGAGAAGCAAGAGGCCGCTGCAAGCCTGTCCTGGGCCAGGGCGTAGGAGGAGGAGAAGGAGGAGGAGGAGGAGGAGGAGGAGGTGGAGGAGCGGGAGGAGGAGGAGGAAGAGGATGAGGATGAGGATGAGGAGGAGGAGGAGGGTGCAGGAAAAAACAAAAAGCGGCACGAGTCCCCACGCCATATCTCTGTGCAACGCTACAAATCGTCAATCACCACGGGAGGGCTTTGGCCGTTCTCGGCCACCCTACGGGCCCTCGCTGGGCCCCGGGGAACGGGAAGCCCGTCCCGTTCACTTGGTCCAGATCTCCGGGGTCACACTCTGAACAAATCGCGACGTGGGAACTCTGGGTGACCAACAAAAACGTTCGGAGGGCCGTGCGACCGGCTCCGGGGGCCAGGCTCAGGGGGCGGGAAACGTCGACCTGCGCTCGGCGACGCGCCGCCGACGGGTCGGCAACAGGCCTGCGATGCAGCGAGGGCCCCACAGTCCAGGGCAGGTCGGAGCGCCTTGGACCCGATCGGCGATGAGTGGGCGATTGCGGGTCGAGGTTCCCCACTCCCCAGGCCATACCCCCCTGACGACGGAGGAGTGGGGATGGACAGCGGTGATACCACGCAGGCGAAGACCGACACTGGCCTGGAAAAGATCCGGGCGCGCATGTGGCGATCGCTGCAACGCCGACGAAAGGGGGCAACAGAACGGAGAGGGGACAGAGGCGGGAGAGGCGGAAGAGCTGGGGGAGCAGAAGATGAAAGGATGCCGAGGCAAATGGACGAGCAGGAGAGAGAGAGAGAGAGAGAGCGAGAGAAAGAAGACAAGGAGGGAAGAGACGAGGAGGGAGGAGGCACTTAAAGTGGGCACATGATTCGGAAAAGAACTTTGGGGGGACGATTTGACAAATAGCTTCGACGGCCCACGTGGGCCCGCTGATGGCCCTCCTGGACTCCCAGAACCCATTCTCAGTGGAGGCGTGGGAGATGCTTGGCGCAGGGCTCTCCACGCACGGGCCACGTGGCCGAGCAGCGGAGGCCCACTCGGTGCGAGCGGTGCCTCTGCGCTGCGTTTAGGGGTCACCGTGCGGAGGGCTTCGATGGTCGCACCCAGTGATTGGTGTCTTCTCTCCCCTCGACCCCATCGTGCCCTCGGGCTGGTTTTGGGTCGGGTGATCGAGCGTTGGATTTGGAAACGGGTTGCTGACCATCTGCAGTGCCCAGGGTTAGAGCATGGCGCCATGGTTTACCTCTGAACCTCAAGGTCGCACGCAGCAAACGAGTCAGTGCTCAAGGAGCTGTTTGTATGCGCGCAGTGTCGTTTCTGGCGGGCAGTGGCCCCGACAACGTCAATTCGATGCGGGTCTGGCCCAGCAGTCACACCGTCTCGCGTGCAAAGAAGCTCCAGGCACTCTCCAACATCGTCGTCTGCCCTGCCCCTTTCGGGAAGAAGCGAGCAGCGAGTCGCCGCCGTACTTTGCTGGCCGTCTTGCCGTAGCGTGCGAGTGCACTCTGTCCGGGCTGCGTGCCGAGCGTTTGCTTGTTGTGCCGCAGTCTGTGCCTGCCCGAGCACCCGGGCCTCTATAGGGCTTTGGCTTCTCGAGGGCAGTGCGTTACAGGGACATGTATTTTTCGTTTTCGGAGCGTTTGTGTGACCCTCACCTTGCGACGGCCCCGCAAGGCAAGGGGGGGGGTCCCGTGTGCAGGTCCCCCAGGACAAGACGTCTCGTGCTGAGGCTATGCATGCTGGCTCGCTCTTGCATCCTGCTGCAGGCATTGACGCTCTCGAACTTTGAGCGCGTCTGCAAGACCTTTATTTCTCCATGCCAAGCACCACCTTTTGAAGCGATGCAGGTTATGTGGTGGACGCTGTGTTCGAGCGTGGGCCCGAAACGACGTGCTCTGCTCGCAGTGCGTGGGCCGACATTTAGCGAATGCTGTGGCATAAGATTGCGGATTGGAGGGGGGCTGGAGGGTCTCTCTGGCTCTCTCTCTCTCTCTCTCTCTCTCTTTCTCTCTCTCTCTCTCTCTCTCTCGTCAACATTAAAGGAAGTGCCACGCGGGATGCCATTCAGTCTGGCCAGGTCGACCACTTCCTCAAAACAAGTAACCACCTGGCTGACGGGTATGCGAAGCAAACCTCTTACCATAACCCGTCTTCCTCCTGAGGTCCGTGAGCTGATTCAGTCGAACGCCAGAGTTCTAACAGAGCTTGCCGCCTCGGTGGCCAAGGTTGGGCCTTCCCTCATGGCGTTGGACTCCCTACATCTCACTCCCCAGCGGCGTTTGGCGAAACCCCGTGCACCGTCGCTGGCCGTGCTGCCTCCCGACCCTCTTGTCACCCCCCCCCCCAGCTTGCTCCCGTAAGATCTCGGGCATGCTACAGTGACCTTGGCTCGTGGCACAGTTCATGCAGTGCACTCGTACCCTCTGGCAGATACAAGACAGTGGTGTGCTGCTTGCGCGGTGTGCGGTGCGATTGGCCCAAACACTGTTGCATCCCTCTCAGGTTCCGTGTCCTGGGCCGCCTCCCCCTTCTTCCTGGGGGTCTCGCGTCCTCAAGGGTCTTCCTCTCGCGTCCTCAGGGGTCGCGGCCGATACCAGATCAGCAAGGTCTGGCACCCCCTTCGGGACCACCGCCGCCCGTGCCTGCAGGTCCGATGCCCGCGCCCGCGCCCCCAGGTGCAGGTGCGGACGCCGCGCAGCGGCGAGCGCGGCTGGCAGCCTCGCTTGCTGCCGCCGCCGCCGCCATCGCCGCCGACGAGGGGTGTGCGGGTGGTGTGGGCTGTGCGAAGGATGAGGTTGAATGTAATGTTTGGCTCTGCTGGCGCTTAAAACAAGACCGTTCCGCAGATCCGCGTCGAGGACGAGGAGGAGGAGGAAGAAGAGGAGGAGAAGGAGGAGGAGGAGGCAGAGGAGGAAAAGGAGGAGGAGGAGGGGGAGAAGGAGGAGGGGAGGACAATGGGGAGCAGGAGGAGGAGGAGGAGGATGAGGAAAAGGGGGAGGAAGAGGGGGGAGGAGGAGGAGGAGGAGGAGGAGGAGGAAGAGGAGAAAAAGGATGAGGAGGAGGAGGAAACGGACAAGGGGGAGAGGAGGAGGTAGAGGAGGAGGAAGAGGAGGAGGAGGAGGAGGAGGAGGAGGGGGAGGAGGAAAAGGGGGAGGAAGAGGAGGGGAGAAGGAGGAGAAGAGGAGGAGGAGGAGGAGGAGGAGGAGGAGGAGGAGGGGGAGGAGGACGAGGGGAGGACAAGAGGAGCAGGAGGAGGAGGGAGGAAAAGGGGGAGGAAGAGGAGGGGGAGGAGGAGGAGGAGGAAGAGGAGGAGGAGGAAACGGACAAGGGGGAGAGGGAGGAGGAGGAAGAGGAGGAAGAAGAGGAGGAGGAGGAGAAGGGGGAGGATGACGAGGAGGAGGGGGAGGAGGAAGATGAGGAGGAGGAAAAGGAAGAGGAAGAGGAAGGACAGCCCCCCGGGAGCCGACGCATCGAGCGGCGGCGGCGGCCGCTCGGCCCCAGCGGGGGGCGAGCGGCCGGCGGTGGGCGCGGCGCGCCTGCGAGCTGCTCGCAGGCCAGCTGCCACCGCCTTCGGGGCGGCGCCGTGGGCGGAGCGCGCCGAGGGCGGAGGCCCCGCCCACCAAGAACAGGCGACACCAGCACCAGCAAGGCGAGGAGATGCGAGGCGGCAGGGAGGGTCTCCCTGGTGGTGTGGTCCCCCCTCTCGCTCGAGACATCCTCAGCCTCCAGCTCGGGGAGGCATCGTGGACCTCCTCGCTGGAGGTGGGCCCCCTGGTGGTGGTGGCGTCGCTTATCCTTCCTTCGAGGATAGACCAAAGCTAGAGGGCCAAAACATTCATGTAGGGGGTCTGTTTCTGCAGTTAAGTCAAGCCTAGCCAGACGTGTCAAACCGAACCGCCCAAACCTTTGATCCCGAGTGCGAAGACGGGGACCTAAATGAGGCCACGTCTTCATCGTGCCAGTTGGGTTCGGCTCTTCCTGTGTCTCGATGAGTACACTAGGAGCTCGACCAGGAGAAGCTTCCCACCAGAAGCCCAGCCCCGAGACCCTGGGATGTCCGTGGATGCCTGGCATGGGGATGCCACGTTCCGCCACCCTCGAGCGATCGAAGCCCCAGAAGCGCCGGGCACCCCGGAGGCAGGCAGCGCGTGTCCCTGCCGTGGGCTTCCACTGCAGCGTGGCTGCTCCTCCCCCCTCCCCCCCGAAGGCCGCGGCCCGAGGCCCGCGATTCCGGGGCCCCGAGGGGCCGAGGCCGAGGGGCCGAGGCCCGGAGGGCCGAGGCCCGCCGCAGGGGCTCGGGCACGGAGGTCGCGGTCTGGGGAGGCGAGCTCCCCTGGGGAGGATCAAGTCTGGAGGGGCCCCAGGACACACAAATAAAGACACAGAAATAAACAGATTCCCCATAGTTTCCGTATTTTCTGGGTTTGTGTCTTCCCCCCCACCTCCCATATTTTCCCATGTTTTCCTGGGAATCGACGATGCATTGTGTCTGTGTGATTTTTCCTCTCCTGAAAGTTCGGGGTCCAGGCGGGAGCCTAAACTCTCTCCCGGAGGTGTCGATGTTGGGATGTCTGGATCGCAATGCGCCTGGGGCATCCTCTCAATCAGAGCTACGATTGGAGCCTTGGAGGGGATAGTGAAGTGCCCGGCCTCCCCGCTTGCTGCTTCAATTGAACCACATTCAATCCCGTGGATCCGCCGGCACCCTTGCGGGGCCATCTGGCTGCGAGGCTTAGGTTTGCTGCTCCCTGCGCCAGTTCCAGTTTTTAGTTTCAATGTTACAATATTTTGTCCTGCTTCTTACTGTTCATTGTTACTGTCCGCGCGAGGAGGGGGAGCCGAAAACGACCCCGGCTAGCTTCCCCAAATCGCGTGATCTGAATTTCTGGGGGGCCGTGGGACACGTAAAAATACATTGGATTCGCGCTCCCGACGCAAGTATCCCTTGGAGATTACACTGTATCCGCGCCTCGGAAACCAAGATCCCTCGTAGATTACGCTGTATTCGCGTCCGCGAAGCCTCGGTCCCTTACAACATCTGAGTCCACGGTCTCCCGTAAGCTACGCCACATTCTCGCCTCTGGGGCCACGATCCCTCGTAAATTGCGCCACGGTCGCGCCCCCGAGGCTATGATCCCATGTAAATTTCGCTGCATTAGGCCACGATGCCGTGCAAATTTCACCACATTCGCGCACCCGAAGCCACGATGCCTAGTAAATCGCACCACATTCGCGACCCCGAGGCCACGATCTCCTACAAAAGGCGCCAAGAGGCGCCCAAGACGCGCCCAAGAGGCCTCCAAGAAGCCCAAAAGATACCCCACGAGGCCCCAAGGGGCCCCCAAAAGGTACCCAAACCGCCTCCAAGAGCTGCCCACGACACCCCAACACATACAAGAGGCCTCACCCACATCCCATGCACGGTGGCGGGATGGGTCGAAGGCCACTAGGATAACGCCAACGTTTCAATATGCGCTGATGAATCCTATCCGCCCCCGCATGCTGTTCCCAGATGCGCCAAGGCAGTGCCGAGAGAGACCGACGCGACTCTGCTGTATCCCATTCTGAGAGAAAGTGGGCCGGCCGCAGGGGGCGAAGCCCTTATGGATAAGACGTGCACAAGGGAAAAAGGGGGGATGCTTGATCATCGGGGGGATGCGATTAGGTGTGTGCGGCCTCGGCGCGCTTCAAGGTTTTTGACACCACGCCGATCGTTCGACCTGGAATCGATCGCGGCCCCAATCGTTCAAGGTCGAATTCAGTCGTGCCCCGTGTCCATCGGAGCTCCCGCGGAACAGAATTTAACCTTGAACGTCTTCGCCAGCGTCGCCGGCGCGCCAGCGCCGCATGAACCCACCGTAGGATATAGACTACAGCACTGCGGTGTCCAAATAAAAACTGTTTTTTTCCAGAAATCTCACGAGAACAACAAGGATCGGAAGTTCTGCGTATGTATTGTTCAATCAGAGTCGGCCGAGATGTCAACGTTTGGGGGGGGGATCCTTGCTGTAGTCGATCTCCTATTCGGAGAGTGTCAGGAGGGAAACAAACTTGGACGCGCGTGCAGACTGCCTCTGCTGCGCTGCGACGTCAAAAGCGTCACGAGGGAAAAACTATAACCGACGAGCCCCCGGAAAACTATAGGTAGATGTGGGAAGTTGAGGGGAAGACGAGAATCCAGAAAATATTACAACATATTCGGGATCGTGGGGTTAGTCGATGGTCCCCCAAAAAAGAATGGGAAATATGGGACGTGGAGGGGGACACGAGAAACCAGGAAATATGCGGAAAATATGAAGAGTCCTGGGACTTGTGGTTATTTATGTGTTTGTGCCTGTGCGTGTGTGCGTGTGCGTGCGTGCGTGCGTGCGTGCGTGCGTGTTCGTGTGTGTGTGTGTGTGTGCGTGTGTGTGTGTGCGCGTGTGTGCGTGTGCGCGTGTGCGCGTGTGCGTGTGTGTGTGTGTGAATGTGTGTGTGTGTGTGTGACCGTGTGAGTGTGTGTGTGTGTGTGCGTGTTCGGGTGCGTGTGCGTGTGCGTGTACGTGTGCGTGTGCGTGTGCATGTGCGTGTTTGTGTGTGTTGTGTGTGCGTGTGTGTGTGTGGTGTGTGCGTGTGTGTGTGCGTGTGTGTGTGTGTGTGTGTGTGCGTGCGTGCGTGCGTGCGTGTGTGCGCGTGCGTGCGTGCGTGCGTGCGTGCGTGCGTGTGCGTGTGCGTGCGTGCGTGCGTGCGCGCGCGTGCGCGTGCGCGTGTTTGTGTTTGTGTGTGCGCGTGTCCCCGGGCCCCATTGAGGGATTGCGCCGCCGCGCCTCTCGGCGGGCCCCTCCGCCTCGCGCGGGCCCGCTGGCCGCGCCAGCCGGAGCTCGGCGGGCAGCGGGGCGGGCAGGGGCGCGCGCCTGGCGGGCAGTGAGCAGATCACGACGGGAGGTTTTCTAATTCTCGCACTGTGGAGGCCCTTGCCGGCCCTCGGCACCATCAACGAACGACTCAGGATGGAAAGCCGGTCCAGGGGAAGTGGGTCGCGACCATGGAAGGTCGACGTTACGAAGAAATCATGACGTCGGAGGTCTGCGGAGGGCTCAGGACGCAACGCCTGGGAGGCACACGTATCCCCGAGATCCTGGCGTTTCCATTGTTTCACAGCGGGCGCCTTTCGCTTCGTTTTTCTGGCCCCGCGAGCCTCGCAGATCGATCAGGCTCGTAAACTGATGCAGAAAGCTGGGGTCTGGGGCTCCCGTCGTGATGAATACCTGCGATGCTGCATTTTTTCGCAACGCCGGATCTCAGGGCTGGCGTCGTGCAGAGGGGGGTAGGGCGAGGGGGAGGGGTTCAAAGAAGGCCGCTTCCTTTTTAGAAGGCGCGGGCCTTCCACCTACAGGCAGGGCCCGCGCCGTCTACGAAGCGGGAGCGTGCTCCTAAGAAGCCTCCCCCCTCCCCCTACCAACCAGCCTCGAACTTATCCCTATGTCTAAAAATGGGCGATCAAAGAGCCAGGACAATCTTAGAGATAGACCCGCAGAAACTGAGGGAATCCTGAAGATCGGCATCGAGGTGAGGTGATGCCAAACATAGAGATAGGTATATGCATCACATTGGTAACCTACCCGGATTACGCCCAGAAGTTCCGGATTACCAGAGCTGTGTCGTCCGCGTACGCCCGGACAAAAATATCTGGGGAGCGCGCCTCTATTGTGTCGGGAAGAACTTCGGCCACCACTGCGTAGACGAGCGGGCCCATCTCGTCTGGCTTGTCTGTGACCGCGCCCATCTCGTCCTGCATCGCCGCCACCGACGATGAGCAACCAGGGAGCAAGCGCTTCAGTTTCGTCAGGATGTTGGATTTGGTCTGGCCGACGCTGTTGCAATACATAGTCGCGCGGTCGCGCCGCAGCTCGTCGATTTCGTCCATGAGCGACCGCCGCGCCAGCTCTACTGCATGTTGCTTCAGCCGCCAGAAGCCAGGCTTACTGCGAGCCTCAGGGTCTTCTGGGTGCACGTACTCCGAGATTTTCGGGTATGCCCTAGCGCACCGTCGCATTCAGGTTGAGTTCACCTGGTCCGCCGCTCGGGCAAAGCTGAGTGTCTAACCAAGCTCGTTGTCGGTGCCTTCTGCACGTGCCTCGTCCGCCTTGCGCCGCATGCTGGCAGCCACCGTGTGCATGGCGCGCTTCACCAGGACCAGCTTCCGCATCGGTGAGTCTGCGGTGGTGTCGCGGGCCTGGAGGTCATGAAACTCCATCGCAGTAATTACGTCTCGTAAAGTATGGATGCGACGTTGCTCGCGTGGAGATGGTGCGCGCGCGTTTTACACGGCGAAGATCGGCTGAATGATATCGCGCGGTGTGCCGACCAAGGCGTGGACGGGAGGGCGTAGCATCCATGGTGTCTGTCAAGCTGGTCGGCGAGCGAATGGTTGGAGTAAGCGCGATCCAGACGAGATCGAGCAAGGCCGCACTCGTGGGTAAAGAGAGGTTGATGCAGCTCGTGAAGCCCACCTGGTTCAAGAAGCCCGTGCTTGAATAAGTCTGCCTCTGACCGGTCCGCGCCGCATGTCCAGGTCCCAGAAGCCTTCGCCCAGCGGTCCCGTTGATCGATCACGAAGTTGATATCTCCAAAGACAATGGATAATGCCTCGCTTGCTGGAGCCATGCATCGTGCCAGGCGCGCCGTAGTAGATTGTCGTTCTGCCCGGATTGCGGCATCGGAGCCCGGGGTCATGTAGACGATGATTATGTCCAGTGCACCGAAGGCCCACGAAGTGAGAGCTTCGCAGCGCGCCCGGCCTCCACCTCAGTCCAGTCGCCAGGAGCGATCGGGTTGAAGCGCCTGAGAAACGCGTTCTTAATGATGAGACCCACACCAGCTCGAGAACTGGCACACCAAAACTCGCGGCAGCCAGGCACAACCCGGGAGGCGTGTGCCTTGCCATCCGTGCTGTGCGTCTCCACGAGACCGAGGAAGTCACGCTTGTCCAACAACGTGAGGGCGTAGTGCTGCTTCGCCTCCTGGCCAGAGACGTCGGTAGAAAAGTAAGCTTGCGCATTCCAACCAGCTCCGGAAGAATCTCCGCTATACGGCCCCCCTCATGGCCGCCAGTGGCAAGTGGGGGTCCTCCGCAGGAGCTGGCGCCTGAACGTGTCGAGCTGCTGGCGCCGGGCGAGGTGGCCCTGGAGAAGACGAGCGCTTGCGCCGCTGCGAATATCGGAGTCCTCGAAGTCCCCTGCTGAGAGCGGGAGGGTGCGGGGATGGAGTCGGAGAGGGTGGAGGCGTGGTGGTGTCGGTCACGGCGAAAATGAATTAGTAGCAGATGGCCGCCGCCAGGCGGCCTCGTATGCAGGCGGGATGGCAGGAAGGCCAAGCCGACGATTTAACGACAACTCCTTGTTGCCTTTGCCAGCATCGCCGCTAAGCTGATGATATTCGTTATCCTTCCTCCATGCTTCTTTTTCCTTGTTCTCGCCATACCCTGCGCTTTTCCCCCATCCTCCCCAGCTCTTTTCGCGGAGGCTCCTCCTTGGAGAGCCTCTGGGGACCTCACAGAAGTTTCAAGCTTTCTTAAGGCCTTCTGGAGGCCTCCTGGGCGTGTTCTTGAGGTTCTGGGGGCTTCTTCTGGCCAACCTGCCTCCAACCGCTGTCTCCCTGGACGACCAGGTCACGATTTGGAATGCTTCGGAGGGTGTCTTGGGGCCGTCTTGGGCCGCCATGGGGCTCTCTTAGGGCCATCTTTGACCCCTGTTGTGCCGTTTTGGGGCTCTCTTGGACTGCCTGGAAGCCCTTTCGGATGGTTGTGGGACGATTTGGGAGCCTCCCAGGCGGCTTCAGACGCCCAGAAAACTGCCGTATTGGAGCGTCGGGAAGCCGAAAAGAGGATAACCTCAACATTCACCCAAAACCCACAGAAAATCAATGATTTGTGCCTCTTGGGGCCTTCTTGGGAGTGCTCTTGGAGGCTTTTTGAAGCCTTTCGGGCCGTCCTGGAGGCTTCTTGGGCCATCTTGAGGTCACGTCGGTCACTCTTGGAGCGCTCTTGTGCTGTCTTGGGGGTCTCTGGAACTTCTCCGATGACCCCCCAGATCGCCCTAGGTGTGCTGGGAAGGCTTGGCAAAACGCCCTGCGGGCCCGGGGGGCCGCTTCGAGGCCCGTCCAGAGGGTCCCAAAGCCCCAGATCCCGGGAGTCCGGTTTTTTTGGGGGGGGTCCCCCCCGCCCGGGCTTATAAAAACATAGGAAGACCACGATATACATGCATTATAGTTATATATACACACACTGGAGAGAGGGAGGGAAGAGAGTGCAAATCAAACACATACAAAAAAAAAAAGCAAGAGAAACATGAGCAGAGTGAAGGGGGCCGAGCAGTCATTCATTGTCCCTGGGTGCGTGGCTGAAGTGGGGATCCGTGGTGGGGATTCTGCTTGTTGTTGTCGTCGTCCTCCCCGCGACTCACCCCGCGACACACCCCGCGACCCACCCCGGCGACCAACCCCGGGACCCACCCGCGACCCACCCCGCGACCCATCCGCGGCCCGGCCCGCGACCCACCCGCGACCCACCCGCGACCCATCCGCGACCCCGCCTGCGACGCACCCGCGACTCACCCGCGACCCACCCACATTGCTATAAGGAAAAGTCGGCGCCTGCGGCGGGCTGACTGCCCAATTTGTGAAAGTTTGGCGCCTGCGGCGGGCCTCTTCAGAGCCTAGCAGACTGAGGACGTCCCCGCCGCCCCCTCACTCTTATCCGCAACTGCGGTGTGCTACGTATTCAGGGAACGAAAAAAAGAACGAGAAAGAAGGAAAGAAGAAACGTGATCAGGAGCGGCGGCAGTAGGAGAGAGGCTCGCGCAGTACGTGCGTGCAGACCCCCTCCCCTCTTCCCCCCCCTGTCGCTCTTCCCTTCCTAGGCCACGGCATCCCCGAACCTTCTTCTTGATCAGGGACCGACCGCCCCGGCATTCCTATAGGCATACCACGACATGTCCTTAGAACCCTAGATCGGTTCTAGGAACAAAAACAATGTTCTTTGAACAGAAGCCCGGTGTGTTAACACAAGACAGAATCGGCCAGAAATGCTCTGAGAACAATTCTTCGTGCAAGCAACGAAAGGTTATTAGAATATTCGTTGTGAAAGGGGCCCTGGGACACACAACTAAATACACACAAATAACAGGATCCCAAATATTTTCCAATCCTTTCTGGGTTTTTGTCTTCCCCACCACTTCTCATATTTGCTATATTTTCTGGGGTGTCGACGATAAATTGTGTCTGTGTGTGGTTTTTCCTCTCCTGACTTTGGTGGGCTTGTCGGCGAGCCAGGACGCTTCGCCACTGCTTGATCCACACAAGCTTCAGCCTCCCACCAGGCCCCGCCGCGCCCGCCACAGCCGGCCGCCGCGAGGCCGCCGCGGGGCCGGCGCGGGGCCGCCGAGGGCCGACGCCGAGGGGCCGCCGAGGGGCCGCCGAAAGGGCCGCCGAGGGGCCGCCGAGGGGCCGCCTCGGGTCGTCGTCGGCCTGCGGCGGCGCCCCGCGGGCACCGCAGGGCTGGAGGCGCTGGCACGCGGCGGACTCGGCCTCTGGCGCGGCCTGCGTGCAACGGAGGGGGGGGGGGGGCTTGGTAGACGGCGCGGCGGGCTCCTGTCCTCCGAGGAGGGGGGGAGGGAGGGAGGAGGGAGGGGGGGTCTCGGGGAGGTTGGGAGGAGGACGGGGGGGAAGAGGGGTTAGGAGGGAGGGGGGGGGGGAGGAGGAGGAGGGAGGGGGGAGGTGGGCGGAGGGAGGGAGGAGGAGAAGCCGAGAAAGAGGAGGGAGGGAGGAGGTGAGGAATGACGCCAAGGGAGGGGGGGATGATGAAGATAAGAGAGGGAGGCGGATGAGTAAGATGAGGATGAGGATGAGGAGGCTGCAGGGAGGAGAAAAGAAGGGGGATGAAGGGCTCTCGACGTTGTTGCTCCCGTTCCGACCCACACCCCTGTTCAATCATCTCTCCTCCTCCTCCTCCTCCTCCTCCTCCTGGGTCCTCCTTCCCATTCTCCCTTCCTCCCCCTCCTTCGGCACTGAGAAATCCTTGCGCCGAATGAAATGCGCAATCCAAACAAACACCCTCCCCCTCACCCTCCTCCCCCTCCTCCCTCTCCTCCCCCTCCTCCCTCTCCTCCCCCCCCTCTCCCTCCTCCCACAGCCTCCCCCCCACTGTCCGCGCGCCCCAGACGTATAGTGACGACGCCGCCGACGCCCCCGACATCGGCAACGACGACGGCGGCGCAAGGGCGGGCTCGGTCGGCGCCTCAGGCGGCTGCGGCGCGCCCTCGTCAGCCCAACGGGCGGGTGTGCGGCCGTGCGCGCCGTCATGCTGCTCGGCGGGCCTGCGGCAGCGGCAGCGGCGGCAGCGGCGGCTGCGACGCCGGCGGCGGCGCTGACACCGGCGGCGGCGGCCGCGACGGCGGCGGCGCTGACATTCAGCGGCGCTGAAGCCGGCAGCGACGACAGCGGCGGCGGCGCCGACATCGGCGGCGGCGGCTGCGACGGCGGCGGCTGCAGCAGCGGCTGCTGCGACAGCGGCAGCGACGACGACCGCAGCGGCGGCGGCGGCCGTGTGTGGCAGCAGCCGGATTCGCATACGCTTGTGAGCCTTAAGCCAGACACGCATCATGTTGCAAACATCTGACTATGTCTATAAACCCTGACATGCGGGGATTCTCCATGTGGACAAAACATTCTCTTAGGTTCAACTCCCGCAGTGTGCAGCACTTCACAATTAAGTCAGGCGTCCTGGTGGGCATGTCCACTCAGGAGTCAGTGGAAAGGAGATCAGGGAAATAAGAAAGACAACCCGGCTCTGTGACCAGGGGGAGGCAGCCAGGAAGTCGGTCGAGGAGGCTCGAGGCGCATCCTTCGCTAGCGTTCTCTTCCACGCGACCAGCGAGCGATTATTATTGCCGGGATGCTCCTTTCTGCGAACGATCTCGTCCGCCACGTCAACCAACACCGGACGGCCATTGGCGAGAAGGTTGGCCAACGCACCGCTTCCCTTGCTGATGCCGTTTTGCGAGAGCGTCTAATGACATCCAGCAGTGCGGTATCCAACGAACGCGAAACGTTGCGTCCCAGAGCTCTTCGCACACAACAGCTAGATCTAATGCAATGCGCCTGTTCCTGGCGCTGGTGCTACCCTCCTAGAGCATCGTGCCGTCGATTCTCTGAGCATCTGCTACATGCACTTGGTCTTCTCTCTCTCTCTCTCTCGACACCTAGCTTGCAGTCGCTCCTGAACACAATAGAAGAAGGACCAGACCGTCGACATTGATCAGGCATCTCAACGCCTCAAGAAACAACACCCCGATACAAGATCTGGACAAACTCGATTTCGGCCAAGGTCGCCGTGAATGCCTCGATTTCGCCCACGCAAACGGAGGCGACTTTGCGCTGAAGCTTAGAACCTCTCCAGCCTAGAATGGGCGCCCGAACAGCGCAGTTGTGTATCAGGCTCTTGTCGGTCGCGGTGACCATCCAAGCGCCCTGCGTCGGATAATCGTTGGCCACGGCCACGGCCCCAGCGGTAGGATTCATGAGCCGACTGGCCAGGATGCTAATGATTCCAGCCGCCTCTGGGCGGGTTTCCCTGTCCATCCAGCTGCGTTAAGATATGAGGGATCAGAAGCTTTGAGTTCGACTGGGGAGACGGAGGGCTTCTTTTGACCCGGCCTTTGCCAATGGTGACGGGACGCACACCCTCTAAGATGTTCTCACCCTGATCCAACGTCGCGCGCTTGGCCCTATATGTCGGGTCTCAACGTTTCACGGATCGAGACAAGGGGCTCTTTAGAGCTGCTTGCCATGAAGAGTCATCAGGAGAAGCATAGTTACTGAGGATGGTGCTGGTCTTGGAATACCGGATCCACCGGCAGGTTTCCAGGATAATCTGAACGGAGGATCCGAGGTAGACGATGGTATTCCTCCAAGCCAGGGGCCGCTCATCGAGACCGTAGACATTCACTAACAGCCTAAGGCGTGCCCCTTTCTTGATACGTGAATCCTCCCACGGCTCCGCATACAGTTCCCTCTGGGCAAGCCTCGTGGAGTCGGATTGACAGAAGGCGTTGATGACATCTGCGATGTCTCCCAGGCGACCATGATTCATCATTGGCTAACATGAGGATGGAGGTAGTTTGGAGAGTGGGAGAATAAACGAAGAGTGACCCGTTGCCCGGGCCATACAGCGTGACTTGGCCGTGGGCTTTGAAACGGTGCCCTGGACCGGTGTCCGCCGTCGAAACGTCCTGATGGTCCTGGGTCTAGGCGTCCAGATCCAGCGAAGCAGCTGCATCTTCACACCTCTTGCGGACCCTGCCGCCGAGGCCGTCGGTGCTGCTCTCTGTGGGCCCAAGAAGCGTGTGAGAAGTGAGACGAATCCGTGCGGGGCAGCTATGCGGACCCTGCCGCTGGGGCTGCCGGTGGAGCCCCCTATGGGGCCAAGAAGCGTGTGAGAGGTGTGACGAATCGGGTGCGGCGCCGCCATGCGGACCCTGCCGCTGGGGCCGTCCCTGTGGGGCCACGAAACGTGTGAGGAGTGTACTGAATCGAGCGCCGGGGGCCTTCGGTGGAGCCATCTCTGGGGCACAAAACATGTGAGGGGTGTACCAGATCGCGTGCTGGACCGCCAAGCGAACCATGCCGCTGGGGCCTTCGGTGGAGCTCTCTCAGGGGGCGCGAAAAGTGTGAGGTGTGTATGCTGAACCAGCTGCAGGGCCGCCATGCGGACCCTGCCGCTGAAACCTTCGGTGGAGCTCCCTATGGGGCCACGAAGCGTGTGAGGGGCATGCTGGATCGCGTGCGGGGCCGCCATGCGGACCCTGCCGCTGGGGCCTTCGGTGAAACTCAGCATGGAGCCACGAATTGTGCGAGATGTGTGCCGAAATTGACACGCCGAGGGTAGAGGCAAGGGTGGGAGAAGGAGGAGCGGGAGGATCGCGAATGCGGGGCACTTTCTCTTCGAAAGTTTTAAAGAGAACGCGCCCCTCGTTCACGCTCCTCCTCCCACTCGTACCACAGGATGGTCGCGGAAAAAAATCGTTTGCACCACCTAGATGGCATCACACATACTGCACAACCTAAACTGTGCATGGTGAAGGCATTAAGAACCCCCCCCCCTTTTCCGGTGGATTATAACGCCCCCGCACCCTGGAGCGTTATGGCCGCACCGGAAGACCTGGCTGAGGGGACTCGGGGCCTAGCTAAGGCCTGCCAAGCGCAAACGTGGCTGACGTGCCAGGGATAAAGGTGCACAAAGATCTGGGCTAGATCCTTGACATTCGTCACGACACCCTCTCTTGGCGTTAGTGGGGCGGCCGCCGATGGTGGATTTTGTTTTCTGTGTGCGGCGGGTGCTAAGTGTATCGTTCGGCTAAAACTGCCCGCCTGGAATATTGAGAAAACCGGGTGCTAAGAATAACCCAGGGGGGTTGCGCAACCTATACTACCTATCTTGCACACTATGAACGGCACCACGTAGATGACACCACATATATTGCAACGCGCGAGTTGCTCCACATGCATTGCACCACGTCTATTGGTAGAAACTTCTTGTTTGGGGCCCGTCGCTCGGACGTCCATTTTCCGGTCAGTTTTCGCTTTCGTGCGTGTTTGTTTGTTGCTCGATGATCCACGATGCTCTTCGGTGGTCCTCGCCGAGAGAAAATGCACACGTCCGAGCGATGCCAAGTGGCTAACAGGTTGTTCGGCCGAAGCGGCCAATTCCTCAAGCGACGTGTCGGGGTAGGAGGTCTGTCCACCTCCGATCCTCGTGCGGTCTGGCGCCGGAGTCGGAAGAAGTTGGCGCGAGGCGCCGACGAGGAGGAGCACGGAGAGGACTCGAGGTGGAGCGGCACGCTGCCCGTGCAGCGAGGTCGTCCTGCATGGGGCGACCTTGCTGCATGGAGCGCCCGCCGGAGTCGGAAGAAGTTGGCGCGAGGCGCCGACGAGGAGGAGCGCGGAGAGGACTCGAGGCGGAGCGGCACGCTGCCCGCGCAGTAGAGGTCGTCCCGCGGGGGCTCCGGCACGGGGGCGCCGCACGACGCGGGTGGTTCACGCTTGGGACTGGGGGAGGGGGCCAGGGAAGGGGCCCTGGGACACACAGAGAAATGTGCACAAATCGCAGGATTCCCCATGTGTTCCCATCTGTTCTGGGCTTTTGTCTTGCCCCCCCACTTCCCACAGTTTCCCATGTTGTCCTGGGGATCGACGACGACTTGTGCCTGTGTGTTCTTGCTTCCCTCCTGGGCCAAGGCCGACCCGAGACGTCCGCGCGGACTCCCGAGCGCCCGTGCTCTCTGCCAGCTTGCGCTCGCCCCCCGCGCTCGCGACCGCAAAACGGCCCTCGCAGCGCGACGCTCCCGAGCCGCCTCCTGGGCATCGACGGCGGGGCCGCGCGCGCCCGCGTCGGCGCAGACCTGGGCCGGCCGGCCCCGCGTGGCTCTCGGCAGCCCCGGGGTCGCTCGGAGGGCTCCCAGGGAACACCTCGGGGGCCCGCGACGACACGCGGGGCCCCTCGGGGGGCCCCGCGGCCCTCCGCGGCTCCTCGGCACGGGCACGGGCGGCGCGCCGCGCCGCCGCCCGCCGGGGGCGAGGCAGGCGCGTGGCTTGGCTGAGCCCCGTTGCCGCTGACCCCTGTCGCGTGAGCCCCGACAGACAGACCCGAGAGGCGCCCTCCCGGCCTGAGGTCCACCACCGTGGCCACGTCGGCCTCCGGCGCCTGCTCCTGCGAAAGTGCCCAGGCGGGGCAGCGACAGAGCCGTCGACGCCGTCGTTGTGATCGCCGCCGTTGACGTCGTCGACGTCGTCGTCGTCGTCGGCGGCGTCCGTCGTCGTCGTCGGCGTCCGTCGTCGTCGTCGTCGTGGTCGCGACTGTCGTGATCATCGTCGTCGTCGTGGTCGTCGGCGTCCGCGGCAGCGTCGTCGTCGTGGTCGTGGCCGTGGTCCTCGGCTTCTCCGTGGTCGTTGCCACGTCCGTCGTTGCGGTGGTCGCTGTCGGGCGATGTGTTTGTGTCAGCGTGCTGCCCCAGAGGTCCCGACCCCTTTCCCGGGTTGCTTTTCTTCGCCCCGGATCCGTTCTGTGGACGGCCCCGGGGCCTGAACACGGAGCCCAGAGGCCGAACTCGAGAAGGAACGCCCGGATTGTCGAAGGTGAGATCGATCGTAGGATCGATAGTGAGACCGATCGAGTGAGACGTTGGTTCCTCCCCCCCCCGAGCGCCCCTATCACCCGAAGGGTGGTCGTATAGGTACAGCTGGGGGCCTGGCGGCCGCGGTAGGCAGGGTGTGCGGGGCGGGTCGCAGGCGCCTCTCCTTGAATCGAACAACCCCATCCAGTCAGGAGGGGAGTCATGCGGTGATGGCATTGGGTAGGGAAACCATCGATAAGGAAAACAGGGTCTTTAAGCCAGTGGAACTCCAATCGTGGCTTGGCTATGGTGTTCACCGCCGCCCTCATCAAATCAGGAATCCTCCAGGGTCTGAAGCCCCCCGACATACTCCTTAACGAACGCCCCCACCGTATCGTCGGGGTTCGGGGAGTTGGGAAAAGTCTCGGCGGCGAACCCAGAGGGAAGGAGAAGGAGAAGGAGGAGGAGGAGGAGGAGGAGAAGGAAAGAGAGGAGGTGGAGGAGGAGGAGAAGGAGGAGGGGGAGGAGGAGGAGGAGGGGAAGGGGGAGAGGGAGGGGGGAGGAGGAGGAGGGGAGGAGGAGGGAGGAGGAGGAGGAGGAGGAGGAGGAGAGGAGGCCGGAGGAGGAGGAGGAGGAGGAGGAGGAGGGGAAGGCCCTTGCGCCGTCCGACGCCTCCTTCTGCTGAGAACCCCCGCCTCCTTCTGCGAAAACCTGCACCCTCTCACTGCCCCCCTGGGCTTGCCGCCGAGACTTCGCCCCGACAGGCTGGGCGATTCCGGGGCCTCGAGGGGGAAGAAAGGATTAGCCTCGGGGATGAGGAGGATTGGATGGGGCGATGTGGAAACGCAGCGCACTGCACAAGCGCACACATTGGAGGATGACGAGGAGGTAGGAGGTAGGAGGTAGGAGGTAGGGATGTAGGAGAGTGGAGGAGGAGAAGGAGGAGAAAGAGGAGAAGGAGGAGAAGGAGCTTGCTTGCTTGCTTGCTTGCACGCGGCTGCTGGACAAGATCACACAATACTCAAATGCTCGCTAGAAACATCTAACGCGTATGCACATCAGCACTCGTGCACATGGTGACTGACAACACACCGCACGCGAGCTGAGCAACCCGTCACAGGGTAAAACTGCTAGAAGAATTCACATGTCCGCCGTCCGCACCCTGCTGGTGCTGCTACTATGCCAGGTGCGCACGGCTGCGCATCCCGAAGCTCGATGGCTCCGAGGCAGTGCGTGCACATCGGTCCAGAGAAACTCACCCACCGAGACGGCCAGTGGCTTCGGAGCATTGCCGACTCCGCGTCGGCGTCTACAGAGGAAGCGCAGGCCGTCCTCGCCCCCCCCCACTGCCCCCGCGATAGTCCCGTCAGAACACCGCGAGCACTGCGATGCCGCGGGGGCAGTAGGGGGGGGACTAGGCTCTACATACATCCCTCCTCCTCCCCAGACTCGGACGGCAGCGACGCGACCCCATCCACGCCTGGGCCCAGGGCGGCGAAGCTGCCGAGGAGCTCACGGGCAGGGCTCAAGCCGCCTTCAGCGCGTCGATACAAGCGCTGATCTCGTCCTCCATGTAGCCCGAGGGGGCCATGCCGCTCGTCACCTGAGCTCCCATCGCGTGCAGCGAGGCTGTAATCACCCCCTCCTTGTCCTTGTCGTCGAGAGCCAGCACGATCTTGATCATGTCCTCGTCCTTGCAGCTCTCCAGCCTGCACAGGCGAACGTCCATGGGCGGGGCCTCGACGAACTCCTGCTTCATCGCCTCCAACGCCCTGCGGTTGACCGCCCCCGCCTCCTCGGTCGCCAGGCTCTCGACGAGCGCCGCGAAGAGAGCTGGGGCGGGGGGCCCCAGCGTGCGCAGCTCCTTCTGGATCTCCTCGGCCTTCGTCGCCGCCTCCTTCTCGGCCCCCGCGTCGGAGCCGCTCGCCTTCTTGGCGTCCTCCTTGTACTTGCCTATCTGCGTGCGAAGGTTCGCCGCGTGGTCCGAGAAGTCCTTCGACTCCTGCTGGATGGCCTTCACCACGCTGCTCTTTTCTTCGATCAAGATGGTCCTGGTAGCGATCCCCCATAGTGCCCGCGATTTCTGGGTGAGCTGAGCCACTTGCATGCTCAACAGTAGTAGAATCTCTCGAAGGCCAGCGTCCTTGGTGTTCAACCTGCTGTCCTTCTGCTCGGCTCGCCTCCGACCGCCGCGTCGGGTCTTCGGCTTGGTCCCCGAGCCCTCGTTGCCTCCGCCGCCACGTTGGAGTCGTGCTCCTCCCTCGGTCCGAGCTCCCTTGCGTCGCTGGCTCTCGTCTCCGCCGTTGGACGCCTGCCCGCCAGTCGGCGACGGGGCCAAGGATCCCCCCTTGCGTGGGCGCCACCTCCCTGACTTCTCCACCTCCATGGGGTAGAAGGGTGTTGCTGCTGACAAACAAGCGCCCGACTGTGCGAATCTCACAGCCTCTCAGACGTGGTCCTGAGGCAGGCGCCGCGGGCCTCTTCGCCCTCGGCCTTGGTCTGGACGGTACAGGTCTCGGTGTGACGACTGAGATGGATCTGCCCTCCTGCGTCGGCGGCAGGTGTGAACACAAGTGGCTACGGAGGTTCTCGTAGGTCATGAACGAGGACTGGCACAGCGCGCACACGTGCGTAATAGGCGGGTGGTGCGTGTACGGGTACGCCGTATTGTGTTTGATACACCTCCCAGCGTGCCATGACCGTGCCAAGTGCCTCACCGCCTCCCCCCTGCTCTGAAAGACCGTGTTGCAGTTGATGCATGCGTTGCTAGTCGTTAGAATATTGAATAAGCTCTGTCCCCCATGCCCTGGTTGTCGAGACTGCCATACATGTGCTACAAGCGCTGCGCGCGTGCGAAAACTCAGCCCACAAATCGGGTCATCTGGATTGGCTCTGATCGTGCAAACAAAGACGTCCGCTTCTCCTTGTTCCCAAGTCTGCTGATCGTCCTGGGCGGCTGGCACAGTGTCTGCCAGGCAAGGTGGCGGTGCCCACTGCGCTGCAGCAAAGGCGCTGCGCAGGCACCGTGGATCGAACGAGATGAAGAGGTAGTTCACCTCCTCGTCCCACAGGAGGTCCAGCATGGAGCCGAACCCCCACACCTCGGCGAATGACTCCGCTTCAGGCGTGCTGCACATCACCTCCAAGTCCTGTCGGAGCTGACGCGCCCAAGGGTGGATCAGCGACGTGTCGTTGAAGCGGCCGTCCTCAAGCAGCGTAGGTGGGCAGCGGTAGGCGCTGGTGGCCTCCCACTGCATCTCGCCGTAAAAGATGGCCAGAAAGTGGGCATGGTTCCGAGGCGCTCTCGCAATCGCCTGCCATGCCTTCAGCCTTTGAACTGTAGCCTCCAATGCAAAGGGCACAAGATTCCAATGCATATATACCTCACGCGTGGTAAGCGTCGTGATGTGCGATGGTTCCGCCTTAGCCGTACCTCCCATCATGGAACGTAGCTTGCAAGCCAATGCACCACACAACTGCTTGGTCTCCGCAGCCGTCCAGCAAAATGCCACCGTGCCCGAGAGGGCCGCACCGCTCACCAAGGATATGAACATCAAGCGCTTGATTCGTAGAGGCGACGACGAGTACCAGAACCCCTGTACCATCATCCAGCCTTTCGTAATCGCAGCCAGCCGTGCCTTGAGCTCGTTACTGTTGCTGTTCACCGCGTTGAACCAGGCGCCCAGGTGCTTCAACTCGTAGCTGCTGCGGCAGCCGCTGCGGTTAAGCTCCGTAATCGTACGACGTACCAGCTGCCTCGAAGGAAAAGCAGGCACCACATCCTGCTTGGCCCTGTTCTGGCCGTAGGCCCTCTCCAGGAGAGCCTGGTCCAAGCCCTGGTCGCTGCGCAGCGAGAGGCGGATCACCTCCGACGCGGACTGGGGCGCCGACAGAAGCTGGGTCTTGAAGAGAGGAGAAGGAGGAGGAGGAGGAGGGGGAGGAGGAGCAGGAAAAGGGAACAGGGAGGCGGAAGGAGGTAGGAGGAAGGAGCGAGGAAGGAGGGAGGGGGGAGAAAAAGGACGAGGAGGATGGGGGAGGAGAAGGACGAGGAGGATGGGCGGGAGGAGGAGGACGAGGAGGAGTAGGAAACAGGAGACCGAGGGAGCGAAGCGTCCTTCGTGTCCGCCGGCGGCCCCCGCGCGGGCGGCGCCCGCTCGGCGCCCTCGGGGGCCGCGTGGCCGTGGCCGTCGAGCGCCCCTGCCGCGGCCGGCGGGCTGCAGCAGCTCGTCGTCGTCGTCGTCGTCGTCGTCGTCGTCGTCGTCGTCGTCGTCGTCGTCGTCGTCGTCGTGGTCGTCGTCGTCGTCGTCGTCGTCGTCGTCGTCGTCGTCGTCGTCGTCGTCGTCATTGTCGTCGTCATTGTCGTCATCGTCATCGTCGTCGTCGTCGTCACAGCGTCGTCGTCGTCGTCATAGCGTCGTCGTAGTCGTCGTCGTCGTCGTCGTCGTCGTCGTCGTCGTCGTCGTCGTCGTCGTCGTCGCCGTCGTCGTCGTCGTCGTCGTTCGCCGCGGCTGCAGCTGCCGCGGCTCGTCGTCGTCATGGTTGTGGCCGTCGTCAGGTCGGCGGCGGCGTCGGCGTCGGTGTCGGCGTCGGCGGCGGCGGCGGCGTCGTTGTCGTCGTCGTCGTCGTCATCGGCGGCGTCGCCCTGGTCGTCGTCACCGTCGTCGTCGTCGGCGTCCCCCAAGACTCCTACAATCTGCATTTTCTAGGGTCCTTGACAAAAAAAACGGCCCAGGATATAAGGGTATTGGGGAAAGGGCCCAGACTTCTGGGTGTTAACGTTGTGAAAATAAACTACGTCGGAGTTGAGGGTCGTCGTGGTCGGTGTCAGAGTCGTCTTCGCTGTCTGGCCGTCCCCAGCTCGACGATATGTGTTTCCCTACACTCCTGTTGGGCTCTCGTTCTGAATAGAGCACTGAGGTAAGTATCCACTCCTTCTCCTTTGTCGCCTCCTCCCTCCTTCCTCCTCCTGCCTCTCCTGCGCTGCTCCCTGGGAGGCTGCGAACTGCGCAACTGTCACCACGTTCTTGGGCTCCGAAGAAGACCAGCGGAGTCGAGGGTCACGCGGACCCATTGGGGAACACGCTGCTCCCTGGATGACTGCGAACTGCGCAGCTGTCATCACGTTCGCGGGCTCCTGAAGGGTCCACCGAAGTCGGGGGCAACGCGGACCCACTGGGGAGCTCGCTGGATGGCTGCGGACTGGGCAACTGTCACCACGTTCGTGGGCTCCTGGGAGGACCAGCGGAGGCGGGCCACGCGGACCCATTGGGGACCTCGTTGCCCTGTGGGTGGCTGCGAACTGCGCAACTGCCACCAATCTCGTGGGCTCCTGACAGGTCCACCGGAGTCGGAGATCCATTGGGGACCTCGCTGCTTCCTGGATGGCTGCGAACTGCGCAACGGCCATCACGTCCGTGGGCTCCTGTGAGGCACGGCGGCGGTGAGAGCAGCGCAGAGCGTGCATATCTGGCGATGTGCTCTTTTGCATCGAATGTTCGGGTGCGGTGCGCCCGCCGGGCGCGGCACGCACGTCCAGCCGCCCGCGGCGTGGCGCAGGGCGGCGGGCGGCGTGCGGCGCGCGGCACGCCCAAGGTCGGGGTGCCCGCGCTCGAGAGCGTGTCCTCACGGCCCGACGGCACTCTCGCCCTCCCGTCGCTTGGTCAGCGGTGATGCCTCGTGCGAATGTTCGCCTCGCTCGAAACAGGGATTGGGCAGGTCTCTAGAAATGTCCAATCCCGGCGCTTTCGTGCACGCATTTATGCATCTGGAACCCGGGTTCGGGCCATGGGACCGTCCAACAACGGGCCGCGCATTGATGATATCCAATCGTCGGGTGCCGTCGTCGCCATCCTCGTCGTTGCGTGCCCTCCATGTCGTCGCCCTCATCGTCGTCGTGCCGTCATCGTCCTCCGGGTCCGGAGGAGCAGGAGGTACCGCCCTCAGCGTCAGGAGCTTTACAGAGTCGAGTAGGGGATCGACTACAGAATCGATGAACCCCAAAATTGATTCCTCCTCTGGATCTACGAGGAATACGTACAACGCTGCGTTGGGCAAATAATTATGTAGTCGATCCCCTAGTCGAAGGAGGAGGAAGATAGAGGCCTCCTATATGAGGTCGGAGTAGATGGTTCGGAAGATCGCGCCGCATCGCCGATACGGTGACGCATCGGCGATGCAATGGCGATGCACAAGCCATGCATCGTCGACGTCGGGGGTGCATCGGCGACGCCGGCGTGAAGCAAATTGGGCTCCGCATCGAGCCGCATTAGCGATACGTCGGCGATGCGGCGCGAACCTCCGACCCCATCTACTCCGCCCCCATCCAGGAGGTCTACAAAGGAGGTGGATCCCGAAAAACTGTTTACGTATCGTCCATAATCTGAAAAAGTCTCTGTGGAACCCACGTCATGCATACGTCATCCTATGACCCCCGGCGCGCGAGGCAATGGCCCCCGACGGCCCCCCCATGTTCCGTTTCTGGCGAGATCCGGCGAATCCAGCGACGAATTCTGGACATCGATCCTCACAAAACCCCGCCCCCGGAGTCTACCCAAGGCAACCCTCAGAGGTCCCCCCTGTTCCGTTTCCGGCGAGATCCAGCGAAGCTGGCGACGAATTCCACACCGGCGCCCTCGCGTGGGACATCCTCAGGAAAAACCCGCCCCCGGAGCTCCACGAGGCCCTCAGAAGAGCTCCCTGTTTCGTTTCCGGCGTGATCCGGCGAACCGGCGGCGAATTCCAAACCGGCGCCCTCGCGTGGGACATCCTCAGAAAAACCCACCCCTGGAGCCTCCCCAAGGAAGCCCTCAGAGGCCCATGTTCCGTTTCCGGTGAGATCTGGCGCATCTGGCGAATCTGGCGACGAATTCTGGCGCCCTCGCGGGGGACATCCTTAGAAAAATCCGCTCCTGGAGCCTCCTCCCCATAAGGATGCCCTCAGAGGCGTCCCTGTTTCGTTTCTGGCGAGAGCCGGGAAATACGGTGGGCGAATTCCAAACTGGCGCCAGCGCGTGGGACATCCGAAAAACCCGCTCCAAAAGCCTCCCCAAGGAAGCCCTCAGAGGCCCCCCTGCTCCGTTTCTGGCGATCCGGCGATCCTGGCGAAACCGGCGACGAATTCTAAACTGGCACCCTCGCGTGGGGCATCCTTAGAAAAAAACGCCCCGGGAGCCTTCCCAAAGAGACCCTCCGAGGAGGCCCTGTTCCGTTTCCGGTGAGATCTGGTGAATCCGGCGAATCCGGAAACAGGCGCAATCGCGTGGGACATCTTCAGAAGAAGCCGCTCCCGGAGCCTCCCCCGGGCCAGAAGGCCTTCTGGGGGAGGCCCTCATGCTGTTCCGCGTCCGGCGACATCCGGAAAATCCCGGGGGGGGGAGGGAGAGGGGGGACGAGGAGGAAACGAAGGAGAGGGAGGAGGACGAGGTGGAGGAGGAGCAGGAGGAGGAGCAGGAGGAGGCGGAGGAGGAGGCGGAGGAGGAGGTTGAGATTGCCAGCATGGCAGCGGGTGGCGCCACGCCCGCCCGATCAGTACCCTCCTGACATTCATTCTCGCCGTCCTCGCTTTCCTGGCCCTCCTTCTCCACATCTTCACCCTCCTGCTCCACGCTCGCCTGATCCTCACTCGCGTGACTCTCACTCTCCTGATCCCCCCCCTCGCGAGACGCGCCCTCCTGATCCGCACGCTCATTCTCACCTCGATCATTCTCCCCTCGCCGAGAAGCGCACGCCCCTTCTTCTGTCTACACAAGCTCCCGATCAATCGCAGAGCGGCCATTTAGGAACGAATTCTCAGTCAATCGATTCTGTAGTCGATCCCCTGGTCGAAAAGGGGAGAAGAGTGGGGATCCCGAAGAGCACTCTACGTGTATTCCGCAGGCTCGACGGAACAGGCCAATGATTCCGTAGTCGATCCCCCAGTCGAAGGGGGAGGAGGGGGATCCCCGAATCCACCCCGACCCGACCTGGCGACGTAGACCCAGGCCCTGTGGCGGCGAAGAGCCTCCTCCTCCGAGAGAGGCTCGAAAAAGAGAGGCCCCTCGCTGTGGCGACGAGGAGCGCCCCCCGAGAGAGGCTCCCAAAAGGAGGCTGAAAAACACAGTCGACGCCAGGGCTGGCCACCGTCGCCTCGACCAGTCCCACCCCACCCCTCCCGATCTGCTCCGCCTCGAGCCTCCATCTTCGATCCTCCTCCCGTCCTCGATGCTCCTCCTCCTCCTCCTCCTCCTCCTCCTCCTCCTCCTCCTCCTCCTCCTGCTCCTCCTCCTCCTCCTCTTCCTCGTTCCTCGATCCTCGATCCTTGATAGTCGATGCTCCTCCTCCTCCTTCTCCTCCTCCTCCTCCTCCTCCTCCTCCTCCTCCTCCTCGATCCTCGATCCTCGATCCTCGATCCTGGATTCTCCTCCTCCTCCTTCTCCTGCTCCTCCTTCGCCTCCGCCGCCTCCTCCTCCTCCTCCTCCTCATCATCCTCCTGTCCTGGATTCTCCTCCTCCGCCTCCTCGATCCCCCCCCCGTTCGATCATCTCCTCCGCCTCCATCCTCCCCCCTTGCCCCCTCGGGCCTGGCTGGTGGAGGCCTCGCTGCTGCGTGAGTGGCAGCGGCATGGAGGGCATCGCCGCGCCCGGCCCGCGGGTGGCGAGCCCGCGCTCCCCCCGCCCCCCCGCGAGGGGGGCCGCTTCCGCCTGCCGCGCGGGGCCGCTGCCGCGGCAGCTGGGACACGCCCCTCTTCCCCAACACGGGGCCAGGACAAGGACAACCTCGGACGAGCATGAATCCATCATCTCTGAGACCCGGCGGTCCTGCAAAATCCATCGGCCACGGCGCGGCACCGTCCCGGAGCGTTCTGGAATGCTCCGAGAGCATGTTTCGGGACGCTTCGGCACGGCCGCGGTGGCCAACCCCGCGGTGGCGTTACGGGCCGCTCTGGAAGAGCGTGTTGGAACGGACCGCTCCTCGTCCTAACCCCGGGGGGGGAGGGGCTGCAGGGGCAACGCGCGTCACACCATGGCCCCCTCGAGTTGTAACAAAAAGCACGGCGTCACGTTCTTCACTAGTTTGGGGCCTCGGGGGGCCCCGACCGGGCCTCGGGGACATCAAAGATGACTCGGGAGGAGGAGCTGGCCCCGGGGAGCGGGTCGAGTGCTCTGAGGCTTGGAAGCAAAAACGGATCATGACGTCGGGGGTCTGGGAACAGGGAACTATACGGATGTCACTACACGTCTGCCGTCGCCACTCGCCTTGGAGTCCTGGCCGGAACGCCCACAGGGGGAGGTCCGTGGAGGGAGGTGCCGGTGGACTATTGGCGGTGTCGGTATCCTCTGGTCCCCCCACTCCGAGGGTCTTCCCTGGTCGAGGTTTGAAGATCGGAAATCGAGGTTCGGGACCTGGGCAGGAGATCCCAGAATCGAACAGATAAGTCGGATCGGCGATCGAAGTAAATCGGATCGTCGGAAATCGGCTGCCGAGCCGGGATAAGTCGAATCGGCGGAAATCGGCAGGCTGGTAGGCCTCCATTTGGAAAATCGGATACCAGATGGACATCCGAACTCGACTCTAACTGGAAGCGTGGCCCACCGAAATCGAATCGAATCGGAAGACTGGAAGTGAGTCCCGCGTGGGCCTTGAGAGTTCTTGAGAAGAAGATAGAACCCGCCTCTTCTGGTTCCGAAGCGTCCTGAGGAATTTGTTGGCAAGGTTCGGCGGGCCCTGGGGGCCCGCTCTGTGCCGGGAGGCCGTGGGCGGATCCCTCCCCATTATCCGTCGCTGCGGGGCCCCTGGCCGCACCTAGTGCCAGGGGTGGGAAGGGGGGGTACTGTCGGCTTGGGCGGCCCTGGTCGTCGTCGTGCTCCGCGTCGTCCCTGTGGTGCTGCAGGTCTCGGTCCTGGTCGGCAGCGGCTTCTCTCCTCCTCTCGCTGCTGCCGCCGCTGGACGGGTCCCTCCCATTATCCCTCGCTGAAGGGCCCCTGGCCAAGCCTTGGGCAAGAGGTGGGTGGGGGTCCTGGCGACTAGGGCGGCCCAGGTCGCCGACGTGCTGCGCGACGTCGCCGCTGCGCTCCTCTCCGGCTTGGTCTCCCTGTTGGTGCAGTTCTTCACTCATCTCTGCGTCCTGTCTTGCTGGGGTGCTCGGTGTCGTCCAGGTCCTCCACTCCTCTGCGTCTGCCAATCTTGTCCATCCTGTCTGCACGATGCTGTGCATGTTGCCCGAGACCACTGCCGTCGCCGAGTTTACGCATAGTGTACAACACCACTTCTGCCTTCCCAGCCATCCCAATGGGTGTGTCGGGTGGGCGACGTTGCCGCGAAACTCGATGCATCTGCATGCCGACGGTGGTGGCCCTCCGCACTTCTGCCCGAACACCTCCTTCAAACTACTGAACGCCGTCGTCGCCGTCACTGGCTGGTTACGGCACCTGCACCACCATCCACGTCCCCGTGTGAGCCGCACCAGGTCATGAGTTGTGGCTGGCCTCCGTTTGGCGTCGTCCCCCAGGCAGTCCGCCTGCAGTCTTCTCTGCGCGCGCCTCTGTTGGGTGGCCTGTCTCCGCGCTTTCTTCCAGTCTCGGTGCTCTGTCGGCCTCGTCTCGATGGCGTCTTGCGCGCGGGCAGCTATCGTCGGCCTCGCAAGGCTTGCTGTCGCGCCTACCCATTTGTAGCAGCTGAGCTGGTTCCCTGGGATGGCGCGCTGCTTTGCCCCCGCATCGGCCAGTCGGTCAGCAGCAAGTTTCCTGCCCAAACCATCCTGGGCATGTTCTTCGCCACTGCCTCTTCCTCCGTCAGGTGCCTGTTCAAGCGGAACATCTGGATGCAATCCCACCCTCCTCCTCGGCCTTCGATTGCGATCCGAACCCTGCGCCATAGGTCGACGTTCGCTCCCACTCTGTCGTTGCTTTCTTCCGCTCTTGCGTGCCATCCTATGAATGTGATCTCGCTGTCTGTCCAGAAGACGAGGCCCCCGCGCGTGGGCCCCAGGCAATTTATGGACGCCCGCAGCTCCGCTCGGTTGCCCGTCTGCCTTAGCCCCGGGAAGGGCCCATGCTTTGCTGCAAGGATCAGGTAGCTGATCTGGCCTTGGCCAGCGTCTAGCGCCACCCAGCTCCATCCGCAGCGCCTGTATCTTTCGTCGCTGCTGTATTCTCCTCCGGATCCGCCCCCGCTCGCCGTCAGAGGTGAGCCTGCTGGAGCCTGGAGTCGTCCTTCTCTAGCGCACAGACCCATGGGCGTTCCCTGCTCCATCGTGTTGCAGGGCGGTGGCGACGTCCAGGTCTTGGGCGTGGGCCCCCTCAGCCAGAAGGGCGGCACCTCCTCCGCTCCCTGCTCTGCCCTAGTCACGAGTCCCGCCGTCTTGCCGATCGCGTCCAGGTCCGTTCGTGCCGCGCAGTTGCCCAAGATGCGAAGGAAGTCGCCCTCCCTCTGTCCGCCCTCGCAGAGCTCGTCCGCGTTGCCGAACTCCTGGCGCTTCCTCGCCTTCGTCCACTGACGTCCACGTCCCTGCGCAGGCCGCCGCCAGTAGTGCCCCGTAGGCTTGGTGCTTCCCCCGCCTTCCGAGGGACTCGAGGTGCCTGGCCAAGTCCGCGCTGTCCACGCCCGGCCCCAAACCCTTGCCGTTGTGGTGCGCCGCTGCTTGGCACCTCATCTGCGGTTGCATGTCTTCCGACAGCGCCCCGATGATGGTGTCAGGGTCACCTTCCTCCTCGCTGTCGGGAAAACTCCACCTGTCGCCGTTCGCGTCGACCCAGATGTCGGGCCCCCTCGAGTCCCAGCCAACTTCCCACAGCAGGAGGACGATGGTGCCCATCACGCCCCTGCGCTGCTGCCATCTCTTGCTGGCCTGAGTCCTGGGGAGCCTGAAGTAGACCTTCGGCCGCGCCTTCCTTGGTTGCCCCCTCAGGTCTGGGCTCTTGGTCCAGGGGTCGAACCAGGCCCCGAGCTGGTTGCGCGTCGTCGAGATCGCGGGGCCCACTCCCTCCAGCGCCAGGAACGTGGTGAGGCACCTCCCTGGCCAGGCCCTCCACATAACCTGCACTCATATCCTCTTCGCTCTTCTCAGGGCCGACGGCGCCTGTCCACGGTGGCGCCGTGCGTGAGCGACGCGACTGGCCCTTGGTGAGCGACTCCCCTTCTTCTCCTAAGCTTTAGCCTCCCCACGTAGCTCCAACTGCTCCGAACCTTTTTTGCTAACGTTTTGGGCTATCTTCGCGCGCGTTGGCCTTTTGGCGGTGCCCTCCGCCGCTCTGTCACAGCCCAGGTCGGGCCCTGTCGTGGCCGCTTTGACCATGATCTCCTGTCGGGCGAGCCTCCGCTTGACATCCAGCGCGGTGCCGAAGTGCGAGGTAAAGATCATCGCCTTGCCGCCAGGTCTAGCGCATGTTTCTTTGAACTCGGGAATCGTGCGCACGAGTGTGGCAACAAGAGCATGGCGAAGAGCCTCGGGCTGAAGTTAATCCTGAACGCCTCGGGGACGAGGGCGTCGATGCGCAGGCTGTCGTAGGACTTCCCAATGTCCGCCAGCGAGCAGCCCTGGAAGATGCCGAGCTCGTCGCAGCACCCATATGAAGATCTCCCTCATGGCCTCCCTCTTGCAGCTGTTGCCTGCCACCGCCGCGCCCGTCGCCCTTGGCTGGCTTCGGTACGACCATGACCAGCGCATTCGAGAGCTGCCAGGGCCACACCACACGCTGCTCAAACTCGCTGAGCATGTCCACTATGGCTTGCCGCCCTTCCATCGGTAGCCTGCGGGTTTCGCTGCAGCGCAGCCTGTCAACGCCCTGGCCCTTGTCGGGCTCCCCCGCGAGGGCGGCGCTGAGGTCCTCGACGGCCCGCTGCTGCGGGTCCTCGGCTGCAGCGCGTCTCCGAAGGTCCTCCAGCAGGGCTGTGTGCTTGCCGTGGACGACCACGTCGCACTGCCAGATCTACGCGAACTCGTCTGCCATGGCGTCCACGATCTCCGGCGGGCTGTCGGTCACTCCAGTGGGGGTCGCCAGCAGGCTTGGTCCTGTGGAGCGCGCCTGGCTTCTGCTCCGCGGCCGCTAGCCACTCACCGAAGCTTCTCGAGCTCTCTCGCCGGTCACGGTTCACCGCAGCCCGCCTCTCCCGCTCAGCCTGCAGCGCCATGCCGTCGACGATGCCCACGTCGAAGTCCTCTAGCGCTTCCTTCTTTTGCCTCCAGACGCTTGGTGCGATAGGGCTGTCTCTGAGGCCCCCCTGCCCGCCTGCTGCTTGCCGCGGCACGCCAGCGGTCCGCCCTCGCGAGGGCGCTATGCTGCGCCCGTCCTCTGCTTCTCCCCTTTAGCTTCGCAAGCTCCGAGAGCACCGCCACGTCGTGGGCCAGCCAGTCGGCGATGTGACCTTTGTACTTCTCTCACCTCTCGCCGCGCTCCCTCGTGTTGTCCGGATTTAGCGGGTGGGCAACGCCGCGGCCCATGACGTGCTGCCTGCCCACTGGGTCGATGCCGTGCGCCATGCAGTATACCTGTCCAGCGTGCCGGTAGCGCCTGCGAATCGAGCTCCCAATTTCTTTACTGCCGTCTCGTCCACATTGAAGGCCGCGCACCTGCTGATGTTCTCTGGTACCAGCTGCTCCACGTCCTCCGCTAACTCTAGTAGTATATGCGCCGTGTCCCAGACGTGTCCTAGCGTGGTGGCGTCGACGTCCGCTGCCGCCGTCCTGATATTCTGCTTCAGGTCTTCCATATTGGGTGCTGCTCTGGCTGGCTCG